CCGTGTTCACCCGTCAGACCCCACAGTGAGTGGTGGGAGCAGATTTTATCCTCAGCCTCTAGTACCATTCCGGAGCACAGAGGGAGATTGTCGTGCTTTCAAACAGAAGTTTTATCTAAGGATTAGAAAAAATGATGTCTATGTAATAAGCATTTTATAAAAAATTAAAACTTCTAATGGAACGATCCAGCCACTGTGGGGAGGAGCCAGGCAGGCGGGAGTCCATGGGCACCTCTGCATCTGCCTCTCACCCCTCTAAGCGGGTGGCAGCCTTCACAGTGTGGAGGTCGCTGTGTCACCTCTCCGCCCAGATCTTGCCCAGCCTCCCTTGGGAACACTTCTAACTTGATCCGTGGGAACAGGCATGGAAAGGACTCTGGGAAATGGAGCTCCCTGCACAACCAAGTTGTCAGTAGAGCATTCCAGAACACACACTCATAGAAAAGAGAGCCTGGAAGAGGGAAAGGAGGAGGGCTCTAGCCCATATCCGGTGCCTGTCATGTCACCTGTGCTGGTTACTCTTTTTGCAGGTTATCATTGCTGATTGACAGTCTTATAAATGACTTAGTTCTCAGGGATGCACAGCTGGCTGGCAAGATTTACAGCCTGGATTTTTACCTATGTCCATATGAGCTCAAAGCTAATGTTTACTTTTATGCACACTGTTGTTTGCTGTTTATTTTCTGGTCTATTTTCCTGTTTGTTTGGATTAAGAAATAAAACATGTAAAAAACTAAGACTGACCAGAAGTACAGAGTTTTCGGCATTCCCGGCTAGTTGCCGCACTAGATAAGCAGCCTTGGGGGAGACTAAGCAGTGACTCACATGGACACAGCTTTTAGGTCACAGGAAAATAACTCGGGCATGGCTAGCAGAGCTTCCGGTTTGTTTATTTTGGGATTTTTTTTTTTTTGGCTGTTTGAGTTTTAATTGCATTTTCATTAAATTTGCACATTAATTTGAGAATAACTGACATCTTTACACAATTGAATTTCTCCCTTATGAATATGATGTATCTGTTTATTTTCTCTTCTTGAATGATTTTTCAGTTGATTTTATAATTTTTCATCTTAAACTTACTCTTAGGTATTTTAAAATTTTTGTTTGTATTTTAAATGGTATCTTTCCATAGTGATAAAATACATATACCATAAAATTTACCATTTTAGCCTTTTTAAAAATTTTCAGAATATTATGGGGGTATAAATGTTTTGGTTACATAAATTACTTTTGTACAGTTTGAGTAAAAGTTATAAATGTGTCCATTACCCAGATAGTGTGCATTGTACCCATTAGGTGTGACTTAAGAGCTTCTGTTTTATCCTTAGCAGAGCTTGGACTTTCCTTTGGCCGTGCCTAGAATTGGAAACTTTGTCAGAGATGCTACAGATTATACTTTAGAGTTGGGAGTTAAGAGTGAGCCTTGGCTGCATTTTTCTCCCTTAAAAGATAGCATAAGGCCAGGCGTGGTAGTTCACACCTGTAATCCTGGCACTTTGGGAGGCCAAGGCTGAAGGATTGCTTGAGATCTCAGGAGTTTGGGACTAGCCTGAGCAAGAGCGAGACCCTGTCTCTACTAAAAATAGAAAAAATTAGCCAGATGTGGTGGTGTATGCCTGTAGTTCCAGCTACTCGGAAGGCTAGGGTAGGAGGGTCGCTTGAGCCCAGCAGTTTGAGGTTGCAGTGAGCTATGATTCTGCCACTGCGCTCTAGCCCAGACAACAGAGCAAGATTCTGTCTCAAAAAAATAAATACATAAATTTCTTTTTATTAGAGGACAAAACAGTGGGAGCCCTTTTGGGGAATAGATCAGCCTTTTATGATCATCCTGGTTTCACTTCCTGCTGTTTCCGTTCACCTAATAAATTTCCTTCCAGATAGCACCTAGATGTAGATTGATCAAACCCTTTACTTTGATGGCGTTTTCTGATAGCAATTCACCTGTTAATCCTTATTTACTTTTCCTGGCCAATTCTCTTTATGCCAGTGAACACATTTCTTAGTAAAACTTTTAGGTTGAAAAACCCTAAAAGTTAAAGCAGTGGCCAGATTATCAAAACACTACAAGTATTTTTTATCGTGTCTGCCGTAAAGTTAGGTCTTATTTAAACATCTGTTTTCCTGAGGAAAGAATTGGGAAATATTTTAAATGTAGTTTTTTATAAAGGACATAATACATGAACATATTATAAAAAAACAAATAGGTTTGTAAAGCATCTTACAGGAAATAGCAGACCCCCCCAGCTTGCTTCCCCTCCCTTATTTCTACTTCCGAGACCCTTTGGGCTGTTTCCTTGGTTTTTGCTTCCAGTCTTGAAACAACATGCTTATATTGCTCCTGCTTGGTTTTCCAGTTTCAGGTGCTCTCTGTTTGATCCCCGATTTGGAATATGGTAATTGTTTGCTCTGTTCCTATCTTCCCATTCTTCCCTTCTCTCATTTTTCCAGTATATTTACATTATAGTTTTTGTTAAATCAGTATTCAGTATTTACATGTTATGTTCTAGAAAACTTTGTGCAAAGCTGACACACGTTAGGATAGTGTGATTATATTTCCTTTCTTGTATAACCGTTTTGTTTTTCCTGGAGTTAATCTCTGTCTTGTTTTTTATTTTTTTAAATTTTTGTGTAGCTTCCACTAATTCTTCCCCAAACCCTCTGCCACACATAAGAACTTCCTCTCAACGCATCAGAACATGTCAGGTGTTCATTCTCTTTGAGGCGTCTGGTACTGCATTCTGGATTGGTTTGGGTTCCCCTAGTAGCCAACAGTGAAGCAAGGATTTGGGCATAAGTGGTTGATTTGGGAGGTGATTTCCAGAAAGCCTGTTAGGGCAGTAGGGAAGGAGAGGAAGCCAGTAAAAGGTGCATTGTGTAAAGCAAGGTCCAATGGGGGGCACCTGTGGCTTGATCCCTCTGGGGAGCAGAGATGTGCTTTGGAGGCTGTATCTGCAATAAACCAAGTGGGTGGGGGCAGCTTGAGCTGGGATAGTGATGGTGGGAGAGTAAAGATGGGCATATTCAGAGAGATGACAATTTGTAAGAAAGAGCAAAACTATGGGGGAAAAAGAGTTTGAAGGAGGGGAGTTAGGTCTTCTTGGAAAAGAAGGAATTTAGGGCTCTAAGAGCACGGACAACTTGTCAAAGCAATCCAGGCTGAGACCCTGTATTATTGTAGGAATTTGAGTGTCTTAAATTTGTATTTTCCAGGCTCACCCTCGGTTTTTTAAAGTACTTCACATATAGGAATAACATTCATTGGGTGTCGAGCAGACTGAAGGGGGGAGGAGGGGTTGGGTATATACATACATAGTGTGATGTGCACCATCTGGGGGATGGACATGCTAGAAGCTCTGACTGGGAGGAGGGCAAGGGCAATATATGTAACATAAATATTTGTACTCCCATAATATGCTGAAATAAAAAAATAACATTGTTTCAGGAAAAAACAAAGAATTGTGTTAACATTTAAAGATGGTTAATTCAGAGGTCTGATGATATTTTTCAAGAACACAGAAGTTTTATTAACTCAAGATTCTTAATAAAAATGTAATGAGTTTTTGAATGAATTTAAAAACCAGTCTCTTTAAATATGAGGATTAATAGGTTTCTCTGAATCATTTGAAGAAATAGATAAGCTAATATAATATGGCTTTCTTCCTCTAGTTCATGAAAAGATGTTCTTAAGTAATTAGAGAATAAAGCTCTTCATAATTGAACAGCATTCAAAATGATGAATTTGAAAATCAGCCACAATATATTAGACTATTTAAAATTACACACATGGAAGACAACTCTTAACCAGAGATATAAGCACACACCAATACCAGCTTTTATAAAAGGGATATATCTTTAAAAGTAAAATGGGCAGAATAAGATTTGAAGGAATTACCTACCACAAATGGTTTCATTACTCTATTTCTTTGATCTCCGTTTATCTTATATTTATTCTGTACTTTTTATTGTCTGGTGTTTGCTCCTTTGATTTGTGCTGGTATCACTTCTCTGTGTTCCCCTAGTACCTTGTACATATTAGCCATTATAATATTTACCATATTTGTGGCCATTGTCCAAAGTTTAAATAAAAGCCAATTTGAAATGGATGTTCAGATAGAATCACAGCTTAAAGTATGTCCAGCATTTAATCAGGGGTGTCCATGCACATGGGATCTTGGGTGTAGTCCCAGGTTAATGTGAAATCCCAACTCTAATTTTGAACCAGAGGAACCCAGGTATTGTAGCAGCCATTAATTCATAGGCTTTAACAATTTGTTAATAAAATTGTTTTTTCCACTAAAACTGGAATTCCTTTTTAGGCACCTTCTTTTATTAAAAAAAAAAAAAGGGCAAAAAAGAAATTAAAATGTTATCTTTGAGGCATAAAACTCATTTTCAGGTGCAATGTGCTAAAAAAGTGATTAAGTCTTTTTAATGAACACACACTATTTTTGTTTTTCATGGGTCTTTACTAGCAGTATCTCAGTTGAGAAATGATTTTGAAAATAGTTCTGTTTCATACATGGTATAAGTGAAACATGGCATAAGGCTCTCACTGTAAGAATTTACTGTTGATTCCTTACTTTAATCCACAGACTCCTAGAATTGAAATGCACAACTAGAATAAAACTTAGAGATCACCATGGAATCCAGGAGTTTCTGAACTGCTCTCCCCGGCACCACCCAGCTCCACAGAGAGACTACCCAGGCCACCAACATGATGGGGGACACAGAAGAGCACACAGGGATGGGCTCTGAGCACCTATACATGCTTCCCCCAGGACAGCTCTGCCTTTTCTATATAATTCCTTGTAACAATTTGGGGGACAGGGAGAGTTTATATGTGTATTTAAGGTGAGGACACTGAGGCCTAGAAAGTGAAGGGCCAGTTTCCAGCGGTTGAGCTGATATACAGGCTGGTTTGAGGCCGGGTCTTCCATCCAGTCCTGTCCCCACTGTGTCACATCGCCTGCTCTGAAAGCCTCTTCTCTCTTTGCCTTTAGCTTCCAGAGCTAAGCTCAGCATGATCAACACCATGTCAAAAATCCGCGGCCAGGAGAAGGGGCCGGGCTACCCGCAGGCGGAGGCGCTGCTGGCTGAGGCCATGCTCAAGTTTGGAAGGGAGCTGGGGGACGACTGCAACTTTGGTAACGAGTGCTTTCTCACCCCGTAATTCTTGCATCTGTCGGGGGGATGTCGGTGCCAGTAAGAAACTCTGTTAGGAAGTGAGTCAAACCATGTTATATTTTGATTCTCAGTTTTAGATCTTGTCTATATTGGCCAGAAATTCATTTTCAGAATTGTTTCATTTAAGGTGGTTTATCTTAGGAGTTTTATTTCTCCCACTCCTCCCCTTGAGACCCCAATCTTTACAACAGTTTTGGTTACCTATCCGGATGCCTCTGTACTTTCTATTGCATGTGTCTGGCAATAGCTGAGTATTGAGACAGTGAACAGTCACAGTGGACATGATTCAACTCCCTACCATGTGGGCTTTCTTGTAGATCTTTGCTCGTTTGTATGTGGCACCGAATTCTCCTGCCCCAGGGGAGACATGATATATTCCTTTATCCCCTCTCCTGCGACACTCAGATATCACACCAAACACCTGTTTTCTCCCCTTCGTGATGTGCGGTCTCGGCAAATGACTGTTCTTCCTCGTTGAACCATGTTCTCCATTCCTGGTATTTGCTTCTGCTAAATGCAGTGGCCTTAAGCTGGTGCCATATTAGGGAATGATAGTACTCACAAGGGAGGGGAGGGAACCTCACAAATGGCTTTTTAAAGGGAAAGCACAATCTTAAATTCTTGATAAAAGTTATATACCCCCTTAGGGGGCATTGAGTCAGTTGTCCAGAATTAACTGTTATTAAGTAGAAAAGTCACTGTTCTCTGGACAGCGATATTTGTTCTCTCTTATCTGTGTTGTCTTCAGAAGACAGAGTAATCCTTGAGTTCTCATCTGTGAAGGGCCCTATTATTGCAAATCCACTTCATCTTTATTCTTTAATATAAAAGAGTTTCATTCTCCCCTTCCAGGCCCAGCTCTTGGTGATGTGGGGGAGGCCATGCGGGAACTCTCGGAGGTGAAAGACTCTTTGGACATGGAAGTGAAGCAAAACTTCATTGACCCTCTTCAGAATCTTCATGACAAAGATCTTAGGGAAATTCAAGTATGTGCAATTCGTTCTCTGGAAAGTGGGCAGTTGAAATCGTACAGGTGCAGATGCCCATTTCCTTTAGAAATCCTGTTGTAGCTTACTGTGCATGTGGTCAGCGCTGGGCACGTGAATTGCAAAACAACACAGCAAGACAGATTGAGAGAAACGAGAAATGTGATGCCTTTCGGCCTGCTATTAGGGCTGTTCCACTCATGACTATTAGTTTTGATTTCTCTGCATTCAATTTCCATGTTGAATAGTTTTCTCAAGCTTTTTCCCCCCAGAAAAGAAGGATAGCAACCTTTTCCTGAGAATACACAATTTTATTAATCTATGGTTTGCTGGGCTGATTTCATCCCTCAGAATGCTAGTTGTGTTAGTTGTAGGCTTAAATAAATATTCTATCACTCTGTAAACATATGTTTTTATATTTTCATAATGGCCATTAAGATTGAGGAAGAATACCCAACTGCCCTTTCTAAAACATGTAGGACAGTTGATAAAAAAAGTTTAATAATAAAGTTAATTAAAAAGTTCAGTGGGCTTTGTCTCTCTGTGAGTAATGTTTACCCATTCATTCATTCAGCAAATATATGTTGAACCTATTTGAAATTTAATTTTGTTGACTGTAAAGTGGACCGCCATGGCTTGAACTGCGACCTACTGGTTCTTCTCACTCTAGCTTAAATCCCCTTCAGCCTGAATGCTTACTCAAAGTCACATAGTAAGTGGCAGACTCACCTTAAATCTAAAATATAACTCTAACTCCAGTGCTCTACCCTACAGCTGACTGTAAGTCCAAATATCTTAAAAGAATAATCCTTCCAAAGGATCAAACATTTGGTTTGGATCCAGGCATGGGTTGTGGGCAGAGATGCCCAGTGCTTGGTGAAGCTGTGTGTATCAGAAGATCTAGAATATTCTTCTCCCCACTTTCCTTCTCATTTCTTTACCACTCCCAACTCTGTTTTCATCTCCTTCCCTTCCCTACCATACATAGCAGGAATGAGGGAGAATTTAGTATTTTCTCCTACCCATTAGTAGTGAAAGACTGTGGCTATCAGGAAAAAAAAATATTTTTCAGCTTTGGAAAGCTGGTCAGATGGAGATATTGGGCAGAGGCCAGGCAGCCACCTGCTGGGGATGGTGCAGGGAGGGACTGAAGGTCCATGTGGAGCATTAGGTGAAATCCCTTCTGGAGATCTCCCTCACTTTCCAGGGGGGTCTCTGTGCTTGGTTTTCATCATATGTCAGGTGGGACATATGATGAACCTAAATCAGTGGCTTAACCTAATCAGTGGCTTAACCTAAATCAGTGGATCCCCAAAAACTGCTTTAGTCCACTGGGTTGAGTGTTAAGATATAGATTCCTAGGTGCCAGCCCTGCATATTCTGATTCAGGAATCCATATTTTTAATAAGCAGCTTAAGTGATTCTAACAGGATGGGTGATTCAAAAAGCAAGAATGCCATTCTTTCTCACTATATCTCAAGGGAAGTGCTTTTCATCCACCTTCTCATGAGATAGCATTTCTTTTGAATGTGAGGACTGGTGGGCCCTGTGAATGTGTGTTTTCAGCATGTGTAGGGTGCGTACATGCCTTCCCTGCTGTCTTCATGGGATGGAAAGGCATAGTCCAGCTTGGCTTTGGCCTGGCAAGGCCAGAAAATAAAGGGCACCAGTATTTCCCACAGTTTCTTTCTTGTTCTTAATTATTTTTAAAGATATTTCCCGACAGTTAGACATTAGAACTGCTTGCCCCACTTATGCATGTTTCTTATTTCTCTGGAGACGTATTTGAAAACTTAGCCTATCTCTGTTCTGGAAGCTAAGAGATGTGATAGAGTAGTAAGCTGCAATAGGCCTCTTCCATAAGTCCTTTCAAAGCATATTCCTGCCCTTGACTTTTTCAGCATCATCTAAAGAAGTTGGAAGGTCGACGCCTGGATTTTGATTATAAGAAGAAACGACAAGGCAAGATTCCAGATGAAGAGCTTCGTCAAGCTCTGGAGAAATTTGATGAATCTAAAGAAATTGCTGAGTCAAGCATGTTCAATCTCTTAGAGATGGATGTAAGTGATTCCCCTGTGCATTTTAATTTAATTTTATCACTGAGGCACAAAATTAATATGTTAAAGGGTATGTCATTAAAAGCATTAATATCTGATTAAACTATGTGGTAAAAGCTTCAGTAGATGTTTCTTTTAAGTAATTTTAAGTGATAATGTAGGTTGAGAAATGGTAATTTTTTTTTTCGGTATTCCCATAGTTTGATTTAACCAGGTTTTGGCTACTAATGTATCTTAAAGTATACATGCTTCTTGACTGACTATGGGGTGGATTATGGCCTGATAAATTCATTGTAAGTTCAAAATATTGCAAGTCAAAAACACCTAACCTACTGAACATCATGGCTTAGCCTTGCCTACCTTAAACAAGCTCAGAACACTTATATTAGCCTGCAGTTGGGCAAAATCATCTAACACAAAGCTGATTTTATACTAAAGTATTGAATATCTCATTTATTAAATACTTCACTGAAAGTAGAAAGCAGAATGGTTATATGGGTACGATTTCTACTGAATGCATATCACTTTTACGCCATCGTAAAGTCGGAAAATCCTAAATTGAACCTTCTTAAATTGGGGACAATCTGACTTACCAATAGCAGGAAGATAAAGAATGTTTCTAGTGATCCGTGTGTAAATGCAATAGCTTTGAAAAATACTCTGTTGAAATATAGGGCAGATTGACTTCAGATTATAAATGAATATCAACTAAAATACACTCAAAATCAAGTGCCCAACATAGATTAAGATGTTCTGTATTTTGAAGTCAAGTTGACATTTTCATTGAGAAAGTAATTTTTATTGAGATTGATGATTGTAGCACAGGTACTACATTTTGAGTATAGATGGTAAGAGTTGCGTTCACATTTCCAGAGCACTAAATTATTATTCATGGCTTTAGAGATTGCATGTTGCTGTGTCCTTTTACAGTCCCTCGTCCTGGCCACTCGTGTAGTGAGACCTGTCAAACCATCTTTCCTGTCCTTGTGCATCTCCACCTCACACCCCATCAGTGGATGATCCACTTCTGCTAAGATGTTTATAGAGCTTTTATGTACTTACTGCTTGTATTAGAGTTCTCCAGAGAAACAAAATCAGTGGGGTATAGATATAGGCATATGAGAGGCAATTTATTAGGGGGATTGGCTCATCTGAGTATAGAAGATGGGAAGTCACACAATATGCCATCTCCAGTCTCCAAGCTGCAGAACCAGGGGTGTCAGAAGCATGGCTGAGTCCCAGTCTGAAGGCCTGAGAACCAGGGGAGCTGCAGGTGTAGCTCTCAGTCAGAGGGTGGAAGCCTGAGAGGAACGCTATGGACATGAGGGGTGATCTGAATCACTGTGTTCCTTCCCTACGCCCAGGGCCACATTCCACCCCTAGACTCAGAGGACCACAGCCTCTCTTGACTTGGGGGCTGCTACTCAGCTAGGTCACAACAGGAGACACAAAATGAAGAGCAGTCAAGGATGCCTAGAATATTAGAGCTGGAATGAACTCCAGATGCCACCTCATTCAACCCCTGTATGTTACAGAGAGGACAAAAGGATTTCCATCGTAGCATGCTGCCTCTCCCGGTGCCTTATGTGAGAAATCAGTATTCACATTTTTATTAACGTAGCATGGAAAGTAAAAGGAACAATGAGTCCTTTGGTCAGTGCACCTTTTTTCTCTAGGAAATCAATAAAAGAAGCCAAATCGTAAATACAAGTGTGTAGCTAGGCGTGAGCTGTTTAATTAGAGAGCTGTGTGATCTCCACGAGGAGCCTTACTGACACGCCTCTCCTGGCGACACTGACAGGCGTGCTTCCACACCCAAGGATGCTTTCCTGTCCTTAACCCATGTGAGGCCTGAAGGGCTGGCTGGCTGAGCCTGGCTTACCCACGCACGGCTTCACCACGCCCCGGGCTGTGTGTCGAGGGCAGCTCTATTGCACGTACAGGGCGGTGGTGGTGCTTAAGGACAGTCGCTTGGTAACTAAGGCACGATCTCCCCATCCATCCGCAGATCGAACAAGTGAGCCAGCTCTCTGCGCTCGTGCAAGCCCAGCTGGAGTACCACAAGCAGGCGGTCCAGATCCTGCAGCAAGTCACTGTCAGGCTGGAAGAAAGGTACTTTACAGTTCCCTGCCTTTTGTGTTTGCATTTTCTTGCTGTAAAATGATAATGTGAAGAAGTGGAAATAATAGAATACATTTGGAGACAAACATCTGCCAAAATTCCTGCTTATTCTGCGCAGGCACCTTTCGGATTGTTTGTTTTGCTTTTATCTCGTCTTGTGCTTTGTTTCACGTTGGTCTGTCGAATCTCATCTAATGTTTACGAGGTGTTGATACTCGGATTATATTTTGGCTGCTGCAGATGGGACACCAGGATGCTTCTGACGATAATGGATGCGATTTGCTGAGCAGATACGGTGTGTGGGTACTGAATGCATATCGTCCTCAATCTTACGACATCCCTGTAAACCACATAGTTTTCGCCCCAGCTCACAGATGAGCAAACTGAGCCTCAGGAAGGTGAAGTGACTAGCCCAGAGTCACTCAGTGGTGTGACTGGGATTCACAGCCAAGCATAACCCATTTGAAAGCCTGTTTCTTTTCACACGTTGTGTTTCTCTGAACAGTGGGGTAAAGTCCTCCACCCTGAGAGAGAGCTGCTTTCATGCGCACCTCCTGAGATGTGCCTTGCCGTGGGGCTGTAGTGGTTTCCTGGCTGAATGGTGTCCCTGGAGTTGCGGGCACAGCCTGCACAGCTCTCTGCGGTGGCCCTGAATTATAATACGTGTTATTTTATTTAGCCAGATTAAGCAGGGTGATTTTGATAAAACATACATACCTCAAAGGATCTACCCATCTCAGCAGCCTTTATTCTCAGATCATGGCCAGGTTAGATGCTCACGGCTGATCGGATGGCTGCATTCGTGATGCAGGCTCCAATCCTACGATGCCGCACTGTCGGAAATGCCACCTGTTCCCATCGTTTCCGTCTGGCTGGCCTCTTCTTCTCAGTGTCGTCTTTGATTAGGGCTTCGATTGAGATCTTCCGTCAGCACACCCTGTGGAAATGTGTGTAACACTGAAGCCTCCAGAAAGGTTTTGAAACCATACACTTCAAAATACTCAAGAAATAGTACATCTTTATGCATCTGTTGAGCACAAAGGGTCACTTTCCTTTTTTTTTCCTCTGAAATATGTTCAAAGTCAGTATCAGAAATTGGATAATGAGGCATCTTTTGACAAGTATGCTTTCATTTGTATATTAGAGCCAGATATTCAACTTCACCTTAGAGTTATCAGTAGGCAAAGAAACATCTTTTTGCAGCAAGTGGTTCAGGTCGTAAACGTAAGGGTGTTTCCTGGCCAAACGTGTTAACTTACTAAAAGAAAACTGGCAATATATATTTTTTTTAAAGTCAGTATCATCTTACAATCACCGTATCCTAAACCCTTCCCGCTCTTGCAAATCTATTGTACGTTGTGCTTATTGAATACCTGAAACGGGAACATAGTTGGGAGTGTGTAGAATGCATTTATTGACCATACCTTTCCACTTTTCCTCCTGTCTTCCCTCGTTCTTTGCCCCTTGCTCCCTTCTTCCAATCTCAAACTGCTCACTTTTCTCAGAGCACATGATATTTCCTCCTCCCAAACCTCCTCACGTTCTATATGCAATTGCTTTCTTGCACATGTTCATCTGGAAACAACTCCTACATATCTTTGACCTCTTTCCTAAAACCTTCCTCAGCTTCCCCAAGGGGAGGTGGACTCCTCCCCTCAGTCCCAGCCCGTACTCCGGTGGCACTTAGTAGGTTTCTCTATTAAGAGCATATCCTAGAATTTATGGTGATTTGTTTGTGTTCTGGCTTCTGTACAGAACATAAGCTGCTTGGGGGCAAGGACTGTGTCTTAATTCATCTTTGTGTTCCTGGAACTTAGCACTGTGAATATTTGCATAAAGAGCTCTGAAAAAATGAGAGAGGGAGAGAGGGATTCAGAGAAAGAATGAAGACAGTGAGGAAATATCTATAGAAGGATGTTTCCATTAGCAGGGACATACACATATAAGAAAACTAAGGGTCCTATTCTGATTTTCCACTCTTTATCATGGTAGACTGGTGGGTAATCCAAGCATTTCCTGAATCTTACTGTTCCTCTTTTCACTTCTTAATTGTTTACATAATCTTTTTGCCCCCTTTCTTTTCAATACAGAATAAGACAAGCTTCATCTCAGCCTAGAAGGGAGTATCAGCCTAAGCCACGAATGAGCCTGGAGTTCCCAACTGGAGACAGCACTCAGCCCAACGGGGGTCTCTCCCACACGGGCACCCCCAAACCTTCAGGTAAGGATCTCTGACCTTCAGATCCCATTACAAGGGCCTTAGACATATCTGTGGACACTTCCCCGGAAATTCTAAGAGCAATCTAGTCTGGCTGCATAGAAGACATACAGTAATACATGTCTTATGGGATAGTTTGACAGGTTGAAACTCTGTTAAAGGAATCCTTTTTTCTTTTCTCATCCACCTTATTTTTCCCTCCTTTTCCCTCTCTTCCATAAAACTTTCTTTGTATGTCCTTTCTCTCATGTTCAATCATCAGCACACACTAACTTCCTAATACACACATTTGGTTAGTAAATCTCCTTTGTGGTTGTAAAGCCCCTTTACTTGTCAGTTTGGTGCTGGAAGTGGCATCTCTTTTCCTGGCTTTTCCCTTCTGTGAATCCAGTGGGCATGGGAATGAATGCCCATGGGCGACATATGTGCATTCACATACAACCCACAGACTGCAGGCAGCTCCAGGAGCATGTGGAGTTGGATTTCTTGAGTCACAGAAGTCTATGGTTGCAGAAGAATATATTTTGAATTACAAAACCTGCTAGGTTTCCTTTCCCAACCACCCCCAATCCCTGACCAGTTTGCCATGCTGTGGTACTGAGGTTAGTATAATAAGAGCTAAATTTTATTGTCTCTCAAGAATCTTGCTGCGTACCCAGCCATGCATTCTTTCTGGTGTCAGGATCACTTTCCACCCCCTACCTGCAGACTAGACAACAGCCTGTGCTTGAGACATTTCCAACTTTAACATTTGTTTCATCAAAAAAGTAGGAACTGTCTTATCCTGGGTATGGATTTTAAAGATAGGCAGTTTTCTTTACCTTTTGTGTCTTCAGTGCTTGATGCTCTACAGCAGAAAACTTTTTACCACATGCTCTCAGGAGAATAGGAAGGAAAAAAGTGAGGCCTGAGCCAGCAGGGGGAGCTCTCTGTCTTTTGTGCTCAGAGCTTCAGTGTGTGGCATAAATAACAGTGACCCTCTGCAGTTAGCTGGCTATCAGGACTAGTCATATAAATTTTGTATAACTGTGCTCTCACTGCCCAGAAACCAACCGTATATTTCACTTTCCATTTGGAGACTCATTAATTTGCTTCTGTCAATAAATCACATTGTTTCCCCTCCAAGCCACCTAAAAATGGCATAGGAGCTGTGTACACTTGTCTGAGTCTATATAAATGTATATTCATGCTATGTTCATATATTTGGTTATTTAAAGTATATCCCTTTTAAGATATGATTCCATCCTTTGTTATTTTACTCAAGGTAGAGTACATTATTTTTTATATGACATAGCTCCAATGCACTACTTATATATGTCATAACTTACCAAGTATAAATTATATAATTTTTTACATAATGTCATTTAATAGCCACAAAATAGAAATGCAAAGTTCAGTTTTTCTATAGTTACTTCCAATTTGAAATAAAGAAACTGAGAGTAAGTGCCTTGTGCGAGGTTATATAGAGTTTAGAACTTGAACCCAGTGTTTTACAGTATTTTGTTTTCACCACATTACAGAAGTTTTCCAGAGGCTAGGTTTATTGTTTTAAAGATTGAAAACTGAGCTGCTCTTCTGAGGTTGCAGAGCATTGTCCCTGTAATTAATTGTGTTATTTCAAATGTGCAGAGATTTTAAAGTGCCAACATGAAAGAACTCTGGCCATGCTGTGTTAATAACCTAAATCATTATAAACTTCTGAGTCACTGGGTCTCCCATATCTGGGCATTCTCAGGAAGGCTGACCTTAATGAACTCTGTTGTACATATCACAAGAATAGATGTGACCATTTTTCCCACTGGACACAGAAACGGGAATATCCAACAACTTGCAAAAATCTGAGACAGCTCCCGAAGACTGGTACTGGGCAAGGTGCCCACGCCCCGCACACGGGGCCTTGCTCACGGCTAGAGGAAGCTGCGGCAGGAAGAGGAACAGGGGAGGAAAGGAGGGGGTGCCACAGGCAGTGATGCTGTGAGTTAAAAAAACTCCTTGTCCTTTTGTGTCTCTCCTCCTCTTACTCCCAGGTGCCCCAATGGATCAGCCCTGCTGCCGAGCCCTGTACGACTTTGAACCTGAAAATGAAGGGGAGTTGGGTTTTAAAGAGGGTGATATCATCACACTCACTAACCAAATTGATGAGAACTGGTATGAGGGGATGCTCCGTGGCCAGTCAGGCTTCTTCCCCATCAATTACGTGGAAATTCTGGTTGCCCTGCCCCATTAGGGTGTTAACGCTGGCTGGCTCATCTCCTCTTGGCCCAGATAGTTATGGTTAAACCACTGCTTCGGTAACGCTGCTTACAACACATCCCAAGTGCAGGCCGCAGTGGTCCACGTCATCAAGCCCCACCAAGTGTCTTTGGTTGACCTGCGTGTACCTACAAGGGTCATGGTGATGGATGGTATCTTCCTAGCCTGGTGGGCCTGACATATGCTTTTTTAAACACCTGAGACCAGCCAGTAGTCCCAGAACTGCTGTTTGCACAGTTCTCAGGAGGCTGGGGCTTCTTAGAACATGACCTTGAGCCACATCACAGAAAAACCATCCTACCGAAGGTAGCGTCTATCACCCAGGGGCCGTCCCAAGGTCGCCCTGCAAAGAGGAGAAAGTGCTTGCTTCCCCACTGTCCCTTCCCAAGTATGTGAGTCACAGAATTGTCAAAGAAAGCCTCCCTCACCAGCAAATTGTCTTCTGATCTGAATGACTTTGTCTCTTGATGCTATCGACAGAAAAATGTTCGTTGTGGGTTGAAAGCATTCTCTGAAAACAGTCATATTTGTTCCCCACACTCATACCTATTTCTGAGGTCCAGCCAGTTTCCTTCCCTCCTTGCTATTAAAGCCAGAGGGGCGATTCCAACTGATTTTTAAGTAAGACAGCAAATCAGCACATTGTGGGAGGGGCTGAAAAAGAGGACATTCTCCATTATGTGGAATCGGGAAGAAATCTAGTATCTAAACTTAAATTTTTTGCTGTACAGAAACTATGTGTATATTTAGGCGATTTCTGAAGGATTCAGGGAAAGGGAACAAATATCTTCACTTTAGTATTATTTATGAATTACGTGTTTCATGAACCCATTTGGCAGAGACGCAAGGGGAAAAACACTCGTAACCATTTTCCCACTAGTTCACAGACCAAGAAACAGCAAATATCTTTTCTTTCCACTTTTACCTTGTGTTCTTTGAACATCGTTTGTGCATATTCTGCCCTCAATGAGGACCAAATAAAGATGATTTTTGTGCTTAGCAGTTTAAGATACATGGCTGCGTATGCAAAACTCTTTCCCCGTGCGGTCGTTACTTTTTCTTCACTCCCTTCTCTTCCATGTTCATTTTGTGTGTACAGTGTGGTGTGTATACTTACCAGTGTGGTTTTATTTTTTTTTTTTTTGTATGAGCCATGGAAGTTCTGTTTAGGTATGCAGAGTTCTATTTATCTAGCTGTACAGGCTCTTTCAGAGATGTGATGTGCTGCTTCCGACGTGCCACCTGCAGTAGTGGATCCTGTGGAGTGAAAGGCAAATCTTACTGCTTATTGTATAAACTCTTACCATGGGAAGCATCGCTGTTTCCAATAAATATTGCTACAGACAGAACCAAAGGCTCTGCTCCTTCATTTTGTGTCAGTTCTTTGTGTCTGACGGTGGCTTAGGGTTCGTTTCCGTCTCCTTTGCCTTCTGATGCAACCAAACCAGACCTGGTCCCAGCCTCATCTCTGTCTCTCTGCACGCAGGAAAAGTTCAAACAGCAAGGGGCGAGCGGGCCTGGACAGTGGTAACTTCTTGGTAACCCCAGGAAGGAGGAGAATCTGGGAGAGAAGATAAGAAAGCGAGGAGAAGGAGGTCTTCTAAAAGTTAAATGAGATCTCAACGGTGATGCTATCAGAGAATATAACATTAGGAGGGGTGAATAAAGTATACCATGTCAACCAGTCTTTTGTTTTCTTTCATACTTGAAGAGGAAGAAATAGACATGGACATATAGTTCTGTCAAAAGCCAGCATTCCTTTCTCGAGACGTGTATGTGTGGGGTGCGGGTGGTGGGTGGGAGTAGAGGAGCAATGCGCACACACAATGTATTTCCTGAGCTGCTAAGAGGATAAGCATGCTGTTTATTAGGTGCCCTTTCTATTATTTTATGCTAATGACTATAGTTAAGATTTTCTAATCTAACATGAATAGTTTTAATATACTAAGTTTTATATGTGAACTAGCCTAACATGAAAATAATTTTGCTAGCTGCATGAGCTCTAAAGTATTACAGATCAATTCTTTAAACCAATTTTAAAAAGACATTACCAGCGACATTACTGTGAATGAATGTAGAAAATCAAGAAGAATCCAACGATGATTAGAATAAATAAGTGAATTTTAATGGGATTACTAGCTTTAAGATAAATATATAAGTATTTTATTTCTGTACACCAATAACAACTAGAAAAATGCAATTTTTAAAACGTCATTTACAAAGGCATCAAAAAATCAAACCCATAGATATAAATCTATCAAGATTGTACAATAACTCCCCATAGTAAATTATAAAACATGTTTGAGAAAAAAATGAAGATCTTAGTGAATAGATGTTCTTTGTTTATGGATTAGAAAACTCAGTCTTGTAAAGGGATCATTTTTTCCCCAAATTAGTCAAGTCAGTGCGGTTTGAACCAAAATCTGAGGAAATTTGTTTCTGTATGTGTTTAAGAATTCATATATTCAGTTTTCAAGCCCATTGTAAAAATGTATATGGAAAAACAAAGGGTTATTTTTCTTGAAGAAGAACAAAGCCTCTTTGTAGAGATAAAATATTATGAAGTTATAGTAATTAAGACAGTATGCTATTGGCCAAGCACTGTGGCTCACA